CAGATCAGTCACCGCTTTCTGGGTTCTTCATCAGGTGCCCAGCTCCCACTGAGTCAGGGCACTGCTGAGGGGAAGCTCGCAGGGTTCAGAGGCTACCTGAGGAGAGCAGCCAGGAGGCTGCATACTGGTGTCAGGCAATGTTGTGGCCTGTCTCCTGCAGCTGATTCAGGGGCGAGTTAGATGGGCTGCACCAATTTATCAGCATTCAGTTCTGAAGGAGCAAGAAGCACCTGTTGGTGCTTCCCTGCACAGTAGGCCTCTGGCAAGATCCCAGGTGGATCCTGCCCTGGGGCTTGTCCCCATTTATCGTGCTACTTAGCGGGTGTTGACCCAACTTCAGCTCACGCTCAGCAGTGGGAGAGAGGGGACAGCCAGCCAGTCCAATCCACCAGGGACAAAGGGAGGGGTGAGCCCAGACATGGGCATTCCTTGCTTCTCCAGCATCCCTGGGGCCTAATCGCGAGGGGCTCTTGGCTTTGCTGGGTGCTTCAGGGCCAGAGCAGGAGTTGCCCTGAAAGAGAGATGGTTAACGTGTCTAAAGAGGGTTGGAGCCAGGGTGAGGAGTGTCTGGGACTGGCAGGGCACTGCTGTGGGGAAGTTCACATCACTGGAGGCCCTCAGCTGGCAGCAATGGCACTGCTAGAGCCCTGGCGAGGTGCCTCTGTGCTGAGGAGGATCCTGCTGTGCTCAGATCAGATTTGGGTCCACCGTCACCTGCTCAGGCGCCCTAGTTGTGAGCAGGGCAGGGCCTGAAGGGCAGCAGGCAGGGACTGCATAGGGGCAGCCTGCAAGGGTGACCTGGCCCCACTCCCAAGGGGACTTGGCTTGTGACGCCTGTGCTGTCACTAAGCAGCATGTGTAATTGTAGCTGGGTTATTTTGGGCTGTTGCTGGGGCCTCCCACACACATGCCAGCCACTGCTATTTTGGAGCTGCTGGCACAGTGCTCTCACTGCTTGGGGGGGTAACGTCACTGACATTAAGCTTCACAGGGGGTGGGGGGGTGAGAGTCTCTTCCTTAACCCCCTGGGTACCGCATGGTGCTGGTGTCTGGAGAGCTACAGAGTCATAGCCCAGCCTTCTGCCACCTCACACCCGTGGGCTCCCAGCTCTCCTCCTCCTGCCTGCAGGGGCAGGCCGGGCTAGCAGTGAGAGCACAGGGATGGGAGTCTGGGCTCCTGATTCTAGCCTCTGCCCTAGGAAGGAGTGGTATCTAGCACTTACGGTGCAGTATGGGGGATCAGGACGCCTGGGTTCTATCCCCAGTTCTGCAACTGACTCTAGTGCCTTGTCCAAGTCCTTTCCCTGCCATGTCTGTTTCATCTGTTTGATCCCATAGTTCTCTGCTCCCATGGGTTTGGCTCCTGGTCCCAGCACAGCCTGTTTCTCTGCCTGCCCCTGCTCTCTTGTTCTTTCTGGTAACATGGCCAGGATGCATGTCACTTTGAACTTGCCCAGCTGCTGGAGTCTGTCACTTGTCTCTGCAAGAGATGCCTTTCTGCTCTGGCTGTTCTAGCTGGGGGTGACAGGGTATTGTTGAAAGGGAGCTCATGCTACTGGAGGCCTACCAGTTGGAGCAAACTCACATGGCCCTTTCCTAGCTGATAGTCAGGGCACTGCCATGAGGAAGCTCACAGCACTGTCACTCTGGGCAGCGGGGAGAGTGGCAGAGTTGGCTGGGTTGCAGTTCAGCAAGTGTACTTTAGTCGGATAGTCCAAAGGTCTGGTTGCCTGACGCTCACCCAGCTGGAGCATTTCATGCTGAGTGGGGCTCTTCCGGCTGCCTGAACGGGGCACCCAGTTCAGGCTGGGTGGGTGAAAGTAGTGACAGGAAGCTGGTTTCACATTCTAATTCAGCATTACAGGCAATGGGCATCCTGCCCATGGCTGTCTGGGCACAGCTGCCCTCTGTTAGTGCCAGGTGCACTGCTTCTTGGCCACAAGGGGTTTGCCTCTTACATGATGTGTGGGGTCAGTCTGGGGGGAGGGGGGGTTATGGCTCAGCTCCAGTATGCAGGGTGCAGCAAGAGTTTCCCAGGAGTCCTAGCTTCCCATCCCCTCATCTGGCTACACTGCAGGGGCTGAGCAGGCTGGGACCCCCACCCCCTTGCTGTTACGTTCAGGGGCATACTTCCTATTGGGTCTTATAGGAAGACAGAGCTGTTAAATAAGAAAGGCAGTGATGGCACAGGCTGGTTGCTATTTAAGTTCCTCCCCTTGGGCTTCTTTGTGCCACTGTACTCACTGGTCCTTCAGCAACAGCCTGGTCAGGACCAAGGAATCCCACTTTAACTCTTGCTCCCTGCTGAAATGTGGGGGGGTTAACTCCCTGCTATAGTGTGGCCCCCCCTGGGTCCTGCTCAAGGTCACACCAGGAGTTTGATGCAGAGCTGGGAACCTGTGTCTCTAACCACTGGGCCATCCTTCTTCACTAGAAAGGGGATCTCTTTGGACAGCAGTATGTTCCAGCCACCCCCATCCTGGCCTCCAAGGATCCACTCAATTGGAAATCTAGGGGCCAGAGATCAGCTGTGTGGGGATTGCCTTCTCTGCCATACAGAGTTCTGCTCCCAGGAGCTCTTGGTGCTAAGGGGGTGGGAGATGGCAGAGGAAAGGCTGCCTGGGACTTTGAGCCCAAGGCCCATCTGCAGCTGGGCCGGCTTTGTGCCTGGAGGAATCTCTGGACTGTGCCCTTGCAGCAAGGGTCTGAGGAATCCTGAATTAATGAGCTCCAGGGAGGAACCTTGACTTTCCCTGCCCCTCACCCAGGCAGCGCTAAGCTGGAGGCAGGGAAAGATGGGCCCTGCTGGGCAGCACTGTTCTTCTCACAGGCCCCTTCCCCTCCTGGTTCCCAAGGGCTGGGGAGAAAGCGGAAGGCTGAGTGCTCAGGGGAAGCTGCAGCTGAGCTCAGCTTGGCCATGCTCCTCTGAGCAGAGGAGTCAGGTCCCATTTAATCTGAGCCCCACCAAGCCCCCGCTTCCAGTTCTGACCCCTCTCCACCCCCATGCACATGCAGACTGCTGCCGCTACAGCTGGTGAATTGTGGTACTGGCAGGGCTTTTAAGGGGAGGGCAGATGCTCTACCTTTCATGGCTTACCCCTCTTATCCCACCGCAGGCTGGAATGTTTCTCCTGGGGGGTCTCTGCAGGACCATTGGGGCAGTTAACATCCTCAGTGTGTGTAACAACCACTCACCCATACTGTTAGCTGGGAATTAATGTAGGTCCAAATGCACAGGCCTCTGAGTTGAAGGAGTAACTCCATAAGGAGGTAACAGTAGTAGGCTTTTACCCTGTATGTTCACCAGCCATTGGGGAGAAGGGGGAAGAGAAGGATAGAGACACTGCTCACTCAGCCAGGCTCCTCTACTCACATGGTCCCCTGGGGAGTTCTGGCACTTGGATCCCAATGACCACTAGGAGGCAGGGCCCAGGTCATTGTAACAATGCTGGTTCTGGTGGCACCCAACTGAGTGCCAATTCAGGACAAATTGCTTAAAGCAGGGCAGTTACAGCCCAAGGTTGGGGTTTTTCCACCTGTAAGGCAAGCCAAACCATCTAGACAGTGAGAACTTGTGGTTAGCCAGTGGGGTAAAACCAGTCACACAAGCAATTCCCTTAGACACTCCAGTTTCCCAGTATCACCACCAGTGCCACTTGTTATGGGGACAGATGGTTATGAAAACCAATAACCCAGTAAGAGAAAAAAGCTTCTCTAGGTCCTAAAGGACCAAGCCCCAGACCCAGGTCAATATACAAATCAGATCTTACCCACAAATCACGTTGTTGCCAATCCATTAGAATCTAAAGGTTTATTCATAGAAGGGAAAGCTATAGACAAGAGCTAGAATTGGTTAAATGAAATCAATGACATACAGTCATGGCAAAGTTCTTGGTTCAGGCTTATAACAATGATGGAATAAGCTGCAGGTTTAAATCAAGGCTCTGGAGAACATCCACAGCTGGGATGGGTCATCAGTCCTTTGTTTAGAGGTTCTGTTTGTAGCCAAGTCCCTCCAGAGGTAGGAAGCTGGATTGAAGACCAGATGGAGGAGCTGCAGCAGCTTTTTATAGTCTTTTGCCATGTGGTCTTTGTCCCAAAGACAAGCTGTCCATCCCATGGCCTGGAAAAACCTCAGTTGTGTCCATAGGCAGGTCCCTGCATACCTTGCTGAGTCGCAAGGCGTGTCTGCCTCCTCTCAATGGGTCAGTTGTACAGCTGATGGTCCTTAATGGGCCATCAAGCAGGCTAGGCAGAGCTGACACCAACTTGTCTGGGGTGTCACCCAGAAGCATAGCATAAGTTTGAAATACAGACAGTATAGAGCCAATACTTAAGTCTTTAAATACAAAAGATGATACATGCACACATAGCATAATCATAACCAGCAAACCATAACCTTGTCTTAGACACCTCCTTTTATCCCCTTTATACAAGATTTGGGGCCACTACAGGGCCTTGGTTGCAACAATGTTCTATACGGTCCCAGTTCAAGTCAACATCACAGTCATGCTGCCATAAGGGCTAAAGTCCCACCTCGAGGGTGGAAGTGTGGGTGCCAAGGATGCTCCCCAGACTCAGCAAAAGGTGCTCTTTGAAGTATTATTTTAAATGGGAGGTGTACCCTGAGCAAAGAACAAGAAGCCAGGATTCCTGGTTTCCTTCCCAGTTCTACCTGGCCATGTGGCCTTCGTCAGGTGTCTACCCTGCCTGGTGCCTCAGTTTCCCCATCTGTAACATGTACATAGTGACACTGGCCTGTGCCTGGGGAGGCTGGGGATATGCAGGAGTCTGAGCATCTGGAGAAGGCTTCCTGTTGGTTTACTCCTAGCCTAGATCTTCACATGGATGCTCAGATGGGCAGAAAGGGTTACAGAGGGTATGGCCCCCCAGCTGTCTGGTCACTGCTCCCCACTGTGTCTGCCAGGGGTTTTAGAGTGACTGCCTGAGAGCTGCCCAAGCCCTGTCATTGATCTGCCCCCGGTGCTCTCTCTTTTCAGAACTCCAAGACAGTGCAGGGTCTGACTGGCCTCCGTAACCTTGGAAACACGGTGAGTCCCTTCCCCGCATCTCTGCTGGGCTCCCCCCCAGGGTAGTGGTCCCCTCGCACCATGCCCCATCCCCACATGCTCACAGGGGTCACCCTGGAGACATGGTCCCTGATGTGACTGCTGCACCACTAGGGAGCCCTGAATGCTGGACTGGTTTGTCAGGCTCCTGCACCCAGTCATCACCCACCCACGCCAAGCTGCTGCTGCCCTTCCCTGACCTGTATTACCCAAGGGGCTGGCACCCAGCCCCACCCCACCACCCTGACTCATGCACCCAATCCACAGAGGGCCTTCTCAGTTTCTGCTTAGGAAAGACTGTGCTAATGCTAGGAACTCCCTTCCTGGTTCTGCCAGCGGTCCCCCAGCCTGCTCCACCCACCACACAGCTCTTCTGTAACCACTTCCGGCAGCGGCCTCACTGAGCGGATCCCCCAGTGCTGAGCCTGCCCCTCACTTCCACACCACAGAAAGAGGAACCCAGAGTGACAGCAGACAGTCCCCCACCCACGAGCTGAGAGTCTGGGAATACCCAGTACCTACCCACAGGGGCAGAGATCCCAGGGATCCCTAGCACCCACCCCAATGGACTGACAGCCCCAGGATGCCCTGCACCCATCCCAAGGGGCTGAGCACCCCGTGCCTGCTTTCAGTGCTTTGCCTTCTCACTGCTGGGGAGGCATTAACCCAGGGGAAAGGGCCTGTTTGGAAACTTCCTTCCCCTGTGGCTCATCAGTGGGTGCTAGGCGCTGCATCATTTGATCTGGGCCTGTAGTAAAGCCACCCCATGCTGATTGCCCAGCTGTGGTGCTGGGTGTGCCTGGCTCTCAGCCCTGTTTAATTGGCTTTAGAGATGGTAAAAGGGCCCTGCCCCATCCCCAGCATTCGGTCATATTTTTCTTACAGAGGGAGCTTGCTCAGCACTCACCATGTACAGATGAGTACCCTCACTTCCCACATCCCACTCCGGAGTCGGGCCAGGTATCTGTCACTTGTCCATCTGATGCTCTGCAGTACCAGGGCAGCAGGGCCCTCTGCTGAGGCTGCCCACAGGTGCAGGAAGGTGTTGGCATGTGGACACCCATTCACATGGAACTTGCCCCACCAATCCCAGAGCACCCAGCCACTATCAGATGGGAGCAGCTTTCTGCCCCTGCTGCCTCAGTGTGGCTTGGAGCCAGCTGCTGCGTGGTGCTGAGATGCCACGAGAATAGAAATCTTAGACATGTAGATACCTATCAAAGTCCCTTCCAGTTCTAGTCCATTCCCCTGTGCTGAGGCAGGACTCAGTATTATCATCCCTCACAGGTGTATGTCTAACCTGCTCTTCAAAGCCTCCAATGATGGAGATTCCACAACCTCCCTAGGTAATTTGTTCCAGTCTTAACTACCCTGTCAGAATGCTTTTTCTAATGTCTAACCTAAATCTCCCTTGCTGCAATTTGAGCCCATTGCTTCTTCTCTGTACCCACTAAAGACAGGACAAGAAGTCACCCTCCTCTTTATAAGAGTCTTATATACTTCTCTCTCCCCCTCAGTCTTCTCTTTGAGAAGAAGACCTCAATCCCCCCCAATCTTTCCTGTTAAGTCAACTTTTCTGGACATTTAAGCATTTTTGTTGGAGGAAGTCCAGAGGAGAGCAATTTGTCTGCATCTTTCCTGAAATATGGTACCTAGACCTGGACACAGTGCTCCAGTTGAGGCCTTAACAGTGCTGAGTAGAGCAGAAGATTTCCCCATGTCTTGCTTCTAACTCTCCTACTAATACATCCCAGAATGATGTTTGCTTGTTTTTGCAATAGTGTTACACTGTTTGCTCATATTTAGTTTGTGATCCACAGTAATCCCTTTTCTGCAATACTCCTTCCCAGGAGGTCATTTGTATTTGTGCAATTGAGTATTCCTTCCTAAGTGGAGTATTTTGCATTTGTCCTTATTGAATTTCATCCTATTTCAGACCATTTCTCCAGATCATTTTGAATTTGAATCCTGTCCTCCAAAGGGCTTGCAGCTCCTCCCAGCTTGGTATCAACTGGGAACTTTATAAGTGTACTCTCTATGCCATTTTCCAAATCATTTATGAAGATCTTGATTAGAACTGGACCCTGCACTGATCCCCTGCAGGACCCTGCTCAGTATACCCTTCTAGCTTGACTGTGAACCATTGCTAACTTGTCTCCTCATGTGTTGTGCACCAACCTTCTAGCAGGTTCATCTGAGCTATATTTCCCTAGTTTGCTTGGGAGAAGCTCATGTGAGACTGTATCAAAAGCCTTACTGAAGTCAAGTTTTATCACACCTCCTGTTTCCCCGCATCCACAAGGCTTGTTACCCTGTCAAAGAAGGATAGTAGTTGGTTTGACATTTGTTCTTGACAAATCTATGTTGGCCATTACCTTTTCTAGATATGTACACATTGATTGATTTGCTCCATCATCTTTATAAGTACTAAATTTAAGACAAGTGGTCTATAATTCCCTGAGTTGTCCTCCCCCCATTTTTTAGATAGGTACTACATTTGTTTTTCCAATCTTCTGGCATGTCTCCTGTCCTCCATGAGATCTCAAAGATAATTGCTAATTGCTCAGAGATCCCTTCAGCCAGTTCCTTAAGTATTCTAGAATGTATTTCATTAGGACTGCCTACCTGCAAAAAACCAGTCTAATTTGTTTAAATAATTCCTAACTAGAGTCTTACCCTATTTTAGCCTCAGAGCCTACTCCATGTACACTGATGTTCACTATGTTAGTTGGCCAATCTCTGCTCACTGTTGTGATGAAAACTGAAACAAAAAGGGCATTTAACACTTCAGCCACTGCTGCGTTTACTGTTATTGCCTTTCCCTCCTCACCGAGTAATGGGCCTACCCTTTCCTTGGTCTTCCCACTGCTTTACAAGCAAGAGGTTTCAACCTTTTTTCAATTGCAGACCCCTAAAATTTTTGAGTTGAGGTGCAGACCCCTTTGGAAATCTTAGGCAGTCTAAAATTACTGTTTTAATCAATTTGTAAAATGTTTTGTTAATAGGTCTTTAAAAAACTGCCAACTCTGCTAAACTCTCCCCTTAGACTTGCTTCCCATGGGATCTTACCTACCAATTCTCCAAGTTTGCTAAAGTCTACCTTCTTGAAGTCAATTGTCTTTATTCTGCTGTTTTTTCCCTCCTACCATTCCTTAGGACAGGGGTAGGCAAACTATGGCCTGTGGATCGGATCCGGCCCCTCAGGGCTTTGGATCCAGCTCACGGGATGGCCACCCCATGGCACTGCAGACCCTGCGCTGCTCCCAGAAGCAGTCGGCGCCACATCCCGGGGTGGGGGGGAGAGAGAAGAGAGCTCTGTGCACTGCCCTTGCCTGTGGGTACCTCCCCTGAAGCTCCCATTGGCCGCAGTTTCCCATTCCTGGCCAATGGGAGCTTCAGGGGAGGTACCCACAGGCAAGGGCAGTGAGCTCAGCCCTCTGCCCTGCCCCCTCCCCCACAGGGACATGGGGCCAGCTGCTTCCTGGAGTGGCATGGGGTCAGGACCAGGGCAGGCAGGAACCCTGCCTTAGCCTTGCTGTGTTCCCAGAGCTGCTCCAGGTAAGCAGTGCTGAGCCAGAACCCGAAGCCCTCCTGCACCCCAACCCCCTGCCCTGAGCCCCATCCCACACCCCTGCCTGCACCACTGCCTTGAGCCCCCTCCTGCACCCCACCCCCTTCCCTGAGTCCCTTTGTACACCCTGCACCCCTCCTCTGCCCCAATCGCTTGCCCTGAGCCCCTTCCTGCACACCCTCCCACACCCCAACCCCAGCCCTACATTCATGGCCCTGCAAGCAATTTCCCAACCCAGATGTGGCCCTTGGGCCAAAGAGTTTGCCCACCCCGCCTTAGAATCATGAACTCTTATCATTTCATGATCACTTTCACCCAAGTTGCCTTCCACTTTTGATTTTGTCTAATAGGGAGGAGCCAGCTTTCTGCAATAAAACATTAACGCCAATGCATTCCAAGAACTTGTTGCATAATCTGTGCCCTGCTGTTTCATTTTCCCCAGCAGGCGTCTGGGTAGTTGAAGTCCCCCATCACCGCCAGCTCCTGTGCTTTGGATGATTGTTAGTTTCTTTTAACAAGGCCTCATGCACCTATTCTTTCTGGTTAGGAGGTCAAGAATAGACTCCTGCCATGACATCACCCTTGGTTTTTACCCTTTTTGTCCTTACCCAGGTCTGCCTCCCACTTCTATCTCAACCTCAGAGAAATCTAGATATCTTTGATATACAAGGCAACACCACCTCCTTTTTTCCCTGCCCATCCTTCCTTAACAAGCTGTACCCTTCTCTACCAATATTCCACTCATGAATTTTCCCACACTAGTTCATGATGCCTATTTGGTCATAATTGTGATAATTCATTATTATTTCTAGTTCTTCCTGTTTAATCACCATAAATCTTTCTTTATCATAGAGACCGCTAAGAGGTTCATTATATTTCCCCTCTTGTCCTTTGTCCCTGCTGTGATTGCCCATGTTCTGCCCAAATTCTGACCCTTCACCCTGGTCTCTAGGTTTTGGACTTGCCTGTAGGCTTTTGTCTCCTGCCCCCCCCCCCCTCAAGCCTAGTTTAAAGCCCACCTCATTAGGTTAGCCGGTCTGTATCCAAAGATACTGGGCCCCATCTCTACTCAGCAGTCTCTCTCAGACCAGCATTGTAACAGGTCAAGCACTCACCAGTACAGTGCCTACTGCTGGTTACCTTGGGAATTAGCTCTTTCAACCCTGGAGCACCTCCTGCTGGCCAGTGTCCCTCCTGCCTTCAGCCCCTGTCCCTTGGGGTGCTGCCCACAGCAGTGCCCCCACTCTCTGGGTCTCCCTTCCCAGGGGAACCCCAATCCCCTATACCCACCTTGTCTCAGTGTCCACTGCCAGTCCTCATCTAGCCCCCTCTCAACAGGGGCAAAGTGCAGTCTGTGATGGCCACTCATCATTGGCAAGGGTGTTGGATCTGCTGCCTTTCCCTGCAGTCCCAGTACCTTCCTGTCCGGCCTTAGCCTGGGAGGGCACCAGGCCTGCGCAACCCAGCACTGCTCTGTCCAAGGTACTCTTTGCTCTTCCAGCCAGGTCCACCTCTCTCTAAAGTTAGAGAGAGACTGACTGCCCCCTCGCCCTGCAGCTCTTTTATAGGGCCCAGCCTGGCCCTGATTGGCTGCCTCACAGCCTTTTCTGATTGAGTCTCAGCCATCCCTAAGGGCTGGCTTTTAACCCCTTCTAAACCGGAGCCGGGTGGCTTCCCGGCTACCAGAATCCCACTGCTGAGGAAGCGGAAGCCTTCCTGGCAGCACGATGACTGTGCAGCTGTGCGTTCACCTCCAGGACATGCCTGTCTCTGCCCGGGCCCCTACCCTTGACTGGAAGGATTGACGAGAACACCGCCTGCACCCCCAACTCCTTCACCCTCACTGCCAGAGCCCCTGTGCTCACTGCCGATCTGCTCAGAGTCATGGCTTCTCCTCCTCCACCTTTGGGGGAGATTCCTCAACCCTCGTTACCAGGGCAGCGTACTGGTTTTTGCTCTCTATGGACAGTGGGATGGGAGCAGGGGTGGAGCACTGCCAGAACTAGCCAGCAGCCAGCCTCCCCTCTGTTCAAGAGCCATTTCCTCCCCCCCAGTGGCACTATTGTAGTCCTCTGCAGCTGGATTGCTTCCTCTGCCTTGGGGGTCTCCCTGTGCATGTTTTCAATGAATTCTTCCTGTTTCATGGATGGGCCTCAGCCTAGCCACCTCCTCCAGTAGCTCTCCCACCTGCTTCCTCAGAGATTTTACCAAGGGACACCTCTCACACAGGATGGTCCCCCCCGCGCCTCCCCCGGCTTTCTATGACTGGGAAATGCAGGCCACAGTCCCTGCAAATCCACACCAGGACCTAAGTAGAAGCATCCTTGGTTGTGTTCTTTGTCTGGATGCAGGTGAGCGGGAGGAGCCAGAAGTAGTGTCGGTATTAGCCACGTGGCCTTTCTAGACCATGCTGATTTTATTCTTTCTCCCTCCAACAAACTCCCTCACATCTCCCCGGTTTGCACGGCACAGACTGCCTGGGTTCTCAGCCTGGGGGCTGCAGACGGGTCCAGCGAAGTTACAAGATCAAAGAGGGGGGATCCCCAGACATTTCTGTTCTAATGAGCAGTCTCCCCCATCTGAAGAAGGCTAAAAGCCCCTGCTCTAGAGACATAGATCAGATGAGATGATCCATCTCTCCAGTGCCCTCCAGTGATGTGGCCTGAAACACCAGGTTGAGGTGGGCTTTCCCAGCCCCCTGGTACTGGTGCCCCTTTTCCAGGGATCTCCCCCACAGCTGGGATTGTCCTGTCTCCTGTTGCCATAGTTTCTCTTCTGCCTCCCCTGCAGTGTTTCATGAACTCGATCCTGCAGTGTCTGAGCAACACGAAGGAGCTCCGGGACTACTGCTTGCAGAACCAGTACGTGCGGGACCTCAACAGCAACAGCCGCATGCACACCGCGCTGATGGCAGGTAAGGGGAGCCAGCTGCCCACAGCCAGGGCTGGGAGATACCAGTGCTCCACCTGGCCCGTCCCTTTGGCAGACTGGGGGCTGAGCCGGTGCCTACAGCTTGGCCTTTTAGTGCAGCTCCCCTCCGGCGAGTGACCCTGTCTGAACGGGGCTCCCGGCCTCTTGGTCCTCTGGCTCTGTGTCACATGGGCACAAGAAGATTTTCCTGCAAAACTCTCCCTCGGATGCGAGAGTCATGCTGGCTTTTTTCTTCTCACATCCCCTGCCAGCTTTTGCCCTCGGTGACCCCTTTGCCACACCATCACTAGTCTACCTGCCCGGACCCATTTGGGGCACTAAGGGATAAACCCATCAACAAGAAGAAAATTGTTCCTACCACATGTGAGTCACATAGCTGGTGGTCATCAGCAGGATGCTTGCAGATGCTGGAAGTGGTGTCGTTTTTCTGTATCACATGATGTTTAAAGGTACCAAGGCATCCAATACGGAAAAATCACCAAAACAGCCATAACGCGAAGAAACAGTCTAATTTTGCCCAAAATTGTCAGAAAACTTCTATGCGCTCAAAATAGCACTGTTTTGGAAAGTCTGGGACATATATAGCCCCAGGTGATATATTGTATGCATTTCCCTGTGCTTGTTTGCCTGCGGTTAAAGCAAAAGTCTGTAGTCACAGGACAGCATGAGTTTGTTTGTACCGTGTAATACATCAAAATATTTGTCATTATTTATAGAATGGATTGATTGGGGAAATGTTTTTCTGTCTGCTATTTTTATAAGCTACACAGATAACAACACCTTGACCCCCTAAATATAAAACATATATTTTGATGTTGTCTGCTCAACCGGAGACATATGTCTAAAGCACACAGATGCAACTATTGTTATCTTCTTACTGTCACTGAATACAATGACAATCCATGTGAACGCCTTAGAAACAGTAAGGACACTTTGCAGAAGGGCTGTGGAATGTCTTGTATGAATATATCCTGTGAATAACAAAGTATAGCCATGTGCTCTCAGTGTAACCTCTACATCTAACGAGGGGCTATTGAAGGTCGAATGCAGCACCCCTTCGAGCTATATTTACTCACAAACATAGTCTCAGTAGTATGCAGACAGTTGAAACATTTCTGCTCGCCCCGAGGGTCTCTGCTGAGTTTGATACTCTGCTGCTGCACTCGTCCCTGTCACAGCTGCGTGCATGGGAGCACAGCAAATCTTCCCTGCGGCAGTCGCATCTCCTCGTCGCACGGGCATTCTCACCGCCCCGCTGCGCAAAGGGCAGGGCGGCTTCCAGAGCAGGCAGCAGCACCACAATGGCAGGGACGAGACGACCCGTGCTGTCTGTCACCCGTCCGAGGGTAACAGGGGGGACTTGAAGGTACCGAACTTGTTGCATGATTCCATGTGAGCTGATAATTTGCACTTTTCAGGTGCTGCCTGAAGGAGGCCACTGATGGGAGCAGTTTCTCACTTGTTTTGTTCTTCTTAGCAAACAACCCGTAGCCCACGATCTCCAGAGCTCCTTCTTTGTACCACATTACAGTGAAGATACCAATACGACACAGGCTGCCTCCGCTGCAAAACCTTACATGACATAAATCTCAGTTGAAAGGCCAAAGTGCCTGATGAAGAGGTAGTGGCAAATGGGGGCTCCCTCAGGCTTTCCTGTTGCAGGGGGGCCGCTTTCAGTACATATTACATGAGAACTGGGAAAACAGCTCCCTGGGTAGTCCTGTGGTCGGGCTCCATGCCCCAGAAGCAGTGAGCCGCTGGTTCAAGCCCCCTTTCTGTTTGTTGAGATCAAGACTTGGGAACTTAATCTCTTGCCCCGCCAGTGTTCCACTTTCACTATATATTAACCGGGGCAAAGGCAGTGCTCTAAGCCCTCTATGGTACGGGGGTTAAGGTGCTCACCTGGCGTGTGCGTGCTCCCGGTTCAACTCCCCTGGGTGTCGCTTGAGACGGCAGGGGGTGCCTCAATCTCTTACCGCTCCAGCCTTCCACTTTAACTATATATTAACCGGGGCGAGCTAAGCTTTCAAGTCCCTCTATGGTACGGGGGTTAGGGCGCTTGCTTGGATTGCGGGTGACCCTGGTTCAACTCCCCTGGGTGTTGCTTGAGACGGCACGGGGAGCCTCAATTTCTTACCGCTCCAGCCTTCCACTTTAACTATATATTAACCGGGGCGAGCTAAGCTCTCAAGTCCCTCTACGGTACGGGGGTTAGGGCGCGCGCTTGGATTGCGGGCGACCCTGGTTCGCATCCCCGCTCGGCGGGACAGGAGGGCCTCTGGCGGGTGACAGGAGGCCCCTCCTAGCTGAGCAAGAGGCCCGGCACAGGGCCTCTTGCTTTTTTAATTAAAGAGGCAATGCTGCGCTACAGTAAAACCCCCCTCTCACTCTTGTCCACCCTGGTCAGGATACACGCCCAGGTTGTGGCAGACCCCAGGGCACTCCCCTGCTCTTTTGAGGGGTGTGAACTGGGGGCCGCCACCTCCTGGGGAGAGTCGCTGGCAAGCGATCCCTGTCCGAATCCCCTCTCCGTCCCAAGAAGACAACGGCCTCTTGAGAAAGAGAGGGGCTTCGGACAAGGATGGCCCACCCAAAGGACGGTCGCCTAGGAGGCAGGAAATCCCTGTGCAAATCCCTGCTGAACGGGCAGCTGGGGGATTTGAACCAGGATCTCCCACAACCCAGGCGAGTATCCTAACCACTGGACTAGAGAGTGAGGGTAGCCGTGAGGCTGGCCCAGAGCCCATTTAACTAAAGTGGAACAGCTTCAACGGGCAAGAAGGAGGCGGGCAACCCCCTCGCTAATAGAGAAAGATCCAGAGGAGATTCGAACCCACATCTCATGCACCCCAGGCGCAAACTGCGACCATCAGCCTACCGAGGGAGTTGTGGTAAAGAAAGGCCCAAATTCCATTTAATTCAAGTGGAACAGCTTTGAAAGGCAAGAAAGGAGGTACCCCCAGAAAGACAGCCACCCACACACACACCAAGGGGGGATTTGAACTCACATCTTCCCCACCCAAAGCATACTGTCTAACCATCAGCCTACAGAGGGAACTGGGTCAGCCTGCGGCCCAAATACCATTTAATTAAAGTGGAACAGCTTCCACAGGCAAGAGAGAAGCAGCCCCCCTCCGGCAGTACCCAAAGACCGACCAGGCCTGTGTTAAACGCTCATCTCAAGCTCTTTTCAGCATCAGCAGATCTGGGGAATTGAACCCACAGCACCCACATGAAGCCCAACCACTGGACCACGGAAGGAGCGGTGCCGGGTGCTTTGCCTGAACAATAGTTAATTAACGTGGAACACCTTCTTTGGGCCAAAAAGCAAGGGATGCCGCAGATTCAATCCAGGACCACCAGCCATTTCATCAGTTTTCGCAACACACAAAGGGAGGATTTGAACTCACAGCGCCCACAAGCCAGACCAGTAGCGTAACCACTGGACTACACAAGAAGCTGCTGAACTGGCTGGCCCAAATAATATTTCATTAAAGTTGAACAGTTTCACGGGCAAGAGGAAGGGATCACGAGACCCCCATCACTAGATTTACGGAACCACAGAACACAGACAGCCTGTAGGGCAGCGCTCGTCAAACCCCCCCACAACCTTCCCAGCAGGATGAAGGGGGATTTGAACGAGCCAGCCTCCTACCCCCTCTCTGAAGTCTAACCACGGAATCAGAGAGGGAGCCGCAGCCTTTAACTGGGCTCAGGGCCCTTCAATTAAAGTGTAACAGCTTCAAGTGAGGGTGCTCCCGTCGCTGTAGCCCAGGACCCAATGATTAGGGCCCTCACCCGGGCGGTAGGTGAGCCCTTTGCAAATCCCTTGTGCTCATCAGGCAGCGGGGAGAGTTAAGAACGTGAATGGCCATAATGCAACAGACCCATGGCCCAGCTAGCCCACTGTCCTGCTTTCCGACAGCGGCCAATGCCGGCTGCATCAAAGGCAGTGAACAGAAGAGGGCAACTCTCAAGCGATCCGTCCCGTCGGGCCCCCCTCCCAGCAGCTGGCCGTCAGCGGGCGAAGGACGCCCGGACCACGGGGCTACGTCCCTGACCGTCTTGGCTAATAGCCATGGATGGACCCATTCGCCACTCACTTTCTCAGTCTTTCTTTTCGAACCCACTTACAGTTTTGGCCCACCCCACCTCCACCGGCAACCACTTCCACAGGCTGAGCATGTGTTGCGGGGCCAAGTACTGCCTTTGGTTTGGGTTAAAGCTGCTGCCTGCTCATTTCAGCGGGTGACCCCCTGGTTCTTGCGTTGCGTGAAGGGGTAAATAACACGTCCCGATTCCCCTTCTCCACCCCAGTCATGACTGGCTAGCCCTCTGTCAGAGCCAACCTTAACCGTCTCTTTTCCCAGCTGAACCTGAAGCACGCTCCCCCCCACCAGCCTCCCTCACAGGCGAGGCCCCAAACCACTAGGTTAAAAGTTACACAAGGGGTCTCTGCCTCCATCCCCTGGGCTGTTTTGTAGGGCGTTCGGCCAGTCCCTAACCAGCTCACGCAAAATGGTCCCTAATCAGCTCACGCTAAGTCACCTGAGGGGTTCCTGGCCGTGGCTGGCAAGCAGAGGGCGGTACCTGGGAGGGGAAGACACTGGGTCGATTTCCTTCTCCCCGCCTGATGGGCGCCGGGGAGTTGAAGAGGGCTCTGCAGTCTCTGAAGCGTGAGCCCCAATACTGAAGTAAAGGATGGCCTGAGGAGACTTCCTCGTTGTAGCTTGTCGGGCCTGTGCCACTTCCATGAAGTGGTAAGGGGCCAGCCTTGCAACATGAATCCCTCTGTAGTCCAGTGGTTTGGGTACTTACCCAGTGTGTGGGTGATGCTGGTTCAACTCCTCCCCCAGCTTGCTGAGGAAGGACTTAAACAAACAGCCATCTCCCTGTTCTCAAGCAAGTATCCAGCTTCTGGACTAAGAAGGATTCTCCTGGGGCGTTTGGGCCCCTATCTTTTTTTTTTCCTGCTGAAGCTGT